TTGAGGGCCCTAATTTCTGTGGCTCAAATTGCTCGAATTTGTCAAAACAACGTCGTTTTGAGTACAAAACAACATCAAAATTGCCAAAACGACGTCGTTTTGGCAATTTTGATGTTGTTTTGTACTCAAAACGACGTTGTTTTGACAAATTCGAGCAATTTGAGCCACAGAAATTAGGGCCCTCAAACATTTTCCATTACCATAATTATTTTAACAAAATTTTTCAAGACTAGCAACATTTGAAGAGTCTTGGAAAACTCTTTAAAAATTTTGTGTGTATAAATAAGTAAAATAAAGAGCCGTGTTGGAGTACATAGTTAAAAAAAGAAAATAGGCAAAATAAATAATTACTTTTTTTTTTTGTAATGTCCCGGTTTTCGGGTTTGAATAGTATTGTCTAGTGGAGTAGTATATAATTCTTTTGGTGTTTTTTTCATCGTTTTGAATCGTTGAAATTTGATCTACTCTTACTTAACCTCCCGTAACTTTTCTAGATTGTAAACTTTCAGTTTTGGGTATTGGAACTTGCCTTGGTTTGCAAAATTACTTTCTGCATTTTGGACAAAACTGCTCGTGCGGAATTGAAAACCGCCTGAGTGGATCCTCACAGGATTTTTCAAAATTGTTTGGGTTTTCTGGGTAGAAAACCGCTTGAGCGGATTTTGCATCCCGCTCAAGCAGATTTTGGGGTGAATTTTTGGGCAGCTCTCTGGAGCAATCCGCCCATAAGGCAGAAAATTCTGCTCGTGCGGATTAGAAATTCCGCTCGTGCAAAAGTGAAACTGCTCAGGCGAATTTCGGCTCGTCTGTCTCGATTTTCGTGATCTTTTTCTCAAAACTGATGCCAAAAGTACTTTTGCTTTGATTTTCTCTCTCTCACTCTCTCTCTCTCTCTATATATATATATCCATCTTTTCTCTCCCTTCTCTGTACAAAACACATCCAAATCCAACTTCTCTCTAAGATTTAGCTCAAATCTTTAAGAGTTTGAGGGAGCTTTTTACACTAAATCGAAGAGGGCGACGAGGGTTACATTTATAACTGATTGGATTGTGTTTTCGCCAACGTTGATTACTAGGGTTTTCTTCCTCTTCATCTCCCAAGCTTGAAGTAGAGATAATCTTTGAGTTATATATACATTTTTACAAGTTTATACATGTTTCGAGTATTTCATCATTTTGTAAGTCATGATTTTGGGTTGTTGAACCCTAAATGATATTAGAGGTGGATTTGATCTATTTTTCCCGAAAACTTTTCATGATATGAGTATGTTCTAGGGTGTGTGTGTTGTTTTGGAAAAATCTTTTCAAAAATGGAACAAAAACCTAGTTTTGGTGGAAGCCCAGGAATTGAAAAATGAAACTATATTAATGCATTGTTATATTTTGCATTGCTATTCCATTTAATCATTATTACAATTGATTTTTGAATCTTGCATTAGAAAGTTATTGCTCTGAGAAAGAAATCATTTTGTGAAACAAGATCATTTTGAATTATTTTGGGGTATATACGTTGGTAAGTCTAGATAGGGGTTTAGTTGGTATTGACTAAGTTAGCTCGAGTGTCCATGGTGAAAGACCGAAAACACGCGCGGATGAGGTACCACGTGCTTCTGGTTAGCAACCAATAAAGTGGTGATTGGTAGTATTTGATATGCCTATTTACAGACACCAACTTAGAGATTACTTGAGTCGTATTTACCACCCCTAGAACTATATTGAATTTATTGAATTTTTGTATTTTTAAATTGCATTGTGTGCAAAAGTTTTAAAAGATAGAGATATATGTTTTTGAGCATGTCACGACATATGCATTCATTTCAGAAGACTGTATAAAATGTATATTTTGTTAAGATCTTCCTACTGGACTTTATGCTCACCCTATGGGATTCTGTGCAGGAAAGGATGTGGTGATGTCGCCGAGTTAAAGGTGTGGACTGTATTTTGAGAGTACAAGGCCCTTTTCCTTTTGTTATAATTATTTTGAAAAGCCAATGGCTTTACATGTATGGATTTGAAAACCATTGTTGTGTAACCGGGCATAAGCCTTGAAATTTGTAGCCCTTGAGGGCATTGAATTGTACTTGACTTATTGGGCCACATGCTATAGATTCATATTCTAGGAATGTTGAATGTATAACTGCACGTGGAGTATTTTTATTTTTATTTTTTATTTTTGTAAATCTCTAGAGTTTTGATGAATACAAATGTTAGAGATTTTATGATGATGTCAATGTTGAGACTTTATTTTCCGTATACATTAAGCAATGGAAGCTATAAATTTGGAAACAAGTTTATGTTGTTGGAAGATGATAAGTCTATATTGTGTTTTTCTTTGGAGCATTACAACTTGGTATCAGAACTACCGAGTTTGAATACTTGGGGCTCGTGAAAAATGGTCATTTTTCCACAATGGGTTCATTTTGCTTGATTAGGAGATGTTACATGTTTTAGGTGTTATGTGATAACATGCTTATATGACTAGATGGGTATGAGATTGAACTTTTGGGATGTTGTTTGCATCTATCAAATTCCTTGAGGTTTTATTTGAAGGGCACATAATCAATGCTCATTCTAATAAGAATTTTTGGTATTTCATGGGACAAATTTCATCATAAAGGAGTAATTCGTATGTGTTTATGTGATTAGGTGCTTATGTGGAGTGAAACTAAGTGTTTAAATGAAATGGGAATGTATAAAATTGTTGTGATAGGACGTATGAGATAGGTTGCGAGCACATATGAGACTGTGTGCTAAATTGTTTAATCTTATCCTTAATTAGGATGTCAGGAAGTGGTCAAGCACGTGGTAGTAGAGGTGGGAGGCGTGGTAGGCCTCACCGAGGTGTTCATGAAGTACCGGTCCATGAGGTTCCAGTGCCAGAAAAAGGGTTCGACCAAGCTAATGCGGCCGAGCAAGTAGACCAAGCTAATGTGGCTGAGCAAATGGGGCATGCGAGAGTCTTGGGGCAAGCAGGAGTCCCAGCGCAAGCGGATCAAGCCATTATGGGTGCCCTAGCCCAAGAAAATGGCGGGGGCTTTGAAAGAGTGGATGAATACCTTGAGGGTGGAGAACTAAGCCCGAAAGAATGTTGTAGAGACCAGGGCGAGTTTTCTTACTGAAGAGTTCTTACAGGCCAAGCAGGATGAGTTTCACGGTGGCCCCGAGCCCAAGAAGGTGGACGAGTGGCTCAAACAAATGGTGAAGATATTTGAGATGCTTCACATCAATGATAGCGAACTAAGGGTGACTTTGGCGAGTTACTATCTCAAAGGGGATGCGAGCCAATGGTGGAAGTATGCCAAAGGCCGAGTGGGGCCAATAGGCGAAACTTTTGTCATCACTTTCCAAGACAAATACCTACCTCCCACAGTTAGGGAGAGATTGAGGCAAGAATTTCAAAACCTCAAGCAACGAAACCTGTATGTGGCTGAGTTTGAAGCGGCCTTCACTAGTTTGTCTTGGTTTGCACCGGAGTTGGTGGCAACGGAGGAACGCTGTTGCATAGAATTCGAGAAGAGATTGAGAACGAAGATCTTGTTCAAGGTTTCCAGAAACATGATTTGGAACTATGATTGTCTTGTGGAGGCGGTGACACATGTAGAGATTATAGTGCAAGTCGATGAGGAGAGACTTCGGGGTTTAAGGTCTAAGGGTCAGAAGTCGCAGGGAGACTTCAGACTTAGTAAGAAGCATAGGAGCACCACTTCATCCCAACCCCAATCACAGCAGACTAGTGCTACATTCCGTTTGCCGAGTGTTAGCTCGAGGAGGAGCGCTCAGGGCAACTTTACTTGTTTTGAGTGTGGCCAACAGGGTCACAAGGTTAATGCATGCCCACGGAAGGGAGGAGGGCAGTAGATGTTACTACCACCACCACCTAACCGATCTTTGAGTCAGTCTAGAGTATGGGACAAGGACCTACTTGCTTTCAGTGTGGTCAGTCGGGGCATTTGAGGAGAGCTTACCCGTAGTTGGGAGGCGCATCTAGTACATTAGGGTCAAGTCAGACTCAGAGCCATCAGTAGGCTCATTTAGTTCAAACCTCACAAGCTAATTAGGGAGCCACCTTGACTCAATCAGTACAACATGCCTATGCTATGAGAGACGAACATGTTAATCAAAGGCCATAGGAATGCTTGTATGCTATTACAGTGCTAGAGCAGTCGCCAAGATCCTCTGTTGTGGGAGGTATTTTGTTGTGTTCAATTATTTGGCTAATGTGTTGATTGATATGAGTGTGTCGCATTCATTTATATCTTCTGCTTTTTCTTTTGCATTGGGGTTAGAGGTTGATTAGTTGGAGTTTCCTTTGTGGGTTGAGTCGTCTGTTGGGGGTCAATTGGCATTAGGGCGAGTGTGCCGCTCTTGTGAGGTTGAGGTCATAGATCACCGACTCTTTTTTGACTTCATCATCTTAGACATGCACACTTTTGACATTATTTTAGGTATGGATTGGTTGACACACTTCCGAGCTACTATAGATTGTCAGCGTCACCGAGTGTCCATATACACATCTACTGGGGATTGTTTATATTTTCTATGTGATCGGGGTGATATATTTTTTCCTCTGTTGTTGGACTTTAAGAGTCGAGGAGGACTTAGTTTCCTCTTTGCCTTTCCCTTAGCCCATGATGGTATAATGGTTCAAAATGATTTGCCAAGGGTAGTTTGTGAATACTCAGATGTTTTCCATGAAGCTCTTACTAGGTTGCCACCTCATCGGGAGATAGAATTCTCCATTGACTTAGTGCCTGGCACGGCGCAAATTTCCATGGCACCATATAGATTTGCATCCGCTGAGTTACACGAGTTAAAGATTCAACTCCAAGAACTTTTAGACAAAGGTTTCATTCACCTTAGTACATCACATTGGGGAGCGCCGACTCCCTTTGCGAAGAAGAAGATGGGTCATTGCGGTTATGTATTGATTATCACAAATTGAATCAAGTTACCGTTAAGAACAAGTACCCTTTACCCAGAATAGATGACTTATTTGACCAACTTAAAGGGTCTCGTTGCTTTTCAAAGATAGACTTAAGATTGAGGTACCATTAGTTGAGAGTTAGGGAGGAAGATATCCAAAAAACGGTTTTTCACACGCGTTATGGCCATTATGAATTCCTAGTAATGCCTTTCGGTTTAACCAATGCTATTACTTCCTTTATGGACTTGATGAATCGAATGTTCCGTAAATTCTTAGATAGTTTCGTGGTTGTCTTTGTGGACGATAACTTGATCTATTCAACCTCTAAGGAGGAACATGAGGAACACTTGCGGATAGTGCTTGACTTGCTTAGGGTGCACCGATTGTTGCTAAATTTGAGAAATGTGAGTTTTGGCTGACTGAAGTGAAATTTTTCAGGTATGTTATATCAAGAGAAGGAGTAATTGTAGATTCTTCTAAGATGGATGCCGTGCAAGATTGGGAACAACTTAAGAATGCTTTTGAAATTCGGAGTTTCCTAGGGTTAGCTAGGTATTATCGTTATTTCATAAGGGACTTTTCTAGACTAGCCACACTATTGACCAGGTTGACAAGGAAGGGTGTCAAATTTGTATGGAATGAGAATTGTGAGAAGTCATTTCAAGAACTTAAGACTAGGTTGACCACAACACCGGTTTTGATAATTCTAGAAAGGGGCTTGGGTTATACTATTTATTGTGATGCGTCCCAGGATGGACTTGGTTGTGTGTTGATGCAAGAATGGAAGGTTGTGGCCTATGGTTCATGATAATTGACAACTCATGAGAAGAACTACCCTACCCATGATTTAGAGTTAGCGGCGGTAATTTTTTTTTTTGAAGATTTGGAGGTATTATTTGTATGGCGAGAAGTTTGATGTTTTCTCCGATCATAAGAGTCTAAAATATTTGTTTCCCAAAAGGATTTGAATTTACTCCAATAGAGATGGATGGAATTTATGGAGGATTATGACTTTGAGTTACATTAATACTCGGGAAAGGCCAATTTAGTAGCCAATGCCTTGAGTCAGAAATCTGTGAGTAGTGTAGCAAGTGTGGCCATTCAAGAATGGGTTATGCTGTAGACCGTCCCGAACTCGCTCTGCGCGAGAGGGCATGAATTGTGTTCTTAGCTACTACAGTTCGGACTCCTGTCACGGTTCAATATCTAATCTCACAAAGTGCAATGTAAGACTGATAAATCACCAAAGAGTCTAAATTCGACAAATCATTTTGGAAAATCAATTTTATTCAAGAAGTGCCAAACATGAACTGCTTTGCCAGATTACAGAGTCGCCACCTAAATATTTTGTTTTTGGGAAATTTAGGAAACCCTGACTCGTGCCAAAAGCCACGTGTCCGTCATCACCAAAGTTGCCTCGGCTCGGGAACTTGGGTACAAGGGGAGAAGGTCATGAAATGAGTACCCCCACTCGCCCGATCAAAGATCGGCCTCTACTAAACATGATATGTTGTTTTTGAAAACACACGTGTTCTTATTCTGATTTATTAGTTAGCTTACTATGTAATGTGCGCAGCATACAAGTATAGACTCAATCACGCGGATTGGAACAAAACAACTCATGTTTGTTTTTGAAAGTGCTACTCGCAAGTAGGCTAAAGCGCGGATTTGCCACCCTCAAGTGGGCTTTAGAAAAAAAAACATGATTTTGCCATTCCAAGTGGGCTTAAAACTCGCAATCATCGAGTTGTTACAATTCAGGCAATCAAACCTTCATCTACAGGCATTCATACATTTAAACACGTAAGCAGTTAGCCTCATGGCAAGCATGTTATCATGGCAGTCACTTACACACATGCAAGGATGCTAAACCAAAAACACTCACAGTGTACTCCGAGCCAAAACAGAAACTAGTTAGAAATTATGCATGATCCTAGCTATGTTAAGATGCCTAATGCAACACATGCAAAAATGCAACTAAAATAGGCTCGGCTATCTAGAATGGCATATGAATGCAACACTTGTTACCATGCTTTGAAACATGTATTCAAGAAAGTGTATTGAAATACAATGCAGTTTGAATGATGCGCCGAGCCCGGTGCATGCAAGACAAATGAATGATGCGCGCATGCAAACATAAGTATGCTAATTGAAATATGCCCTAAAACTAACCATCGAAAGTTGATAAGTAAAAGGGAGAAAGACGTGGGGTTGGAAGACATTCACACACTCACGCAAACTTATTACAACATTTGCCCTCTCGACGGAGGGTCCGAATAAATAATACAAGCTAGCTACGCTAAGCTAAGCTACATAACTAATCTAATAATCTAATTAGACTAATTATTACACAACACAAATTGAATAACTAGCTACAACTAATTATTACAATACTTTAATTAATTAACAAATTAACTAATCATGGTAACTAACTAAGCATGTGAGGTATGTGAACTAGGCTGCCACAGCTCTGCCTTGAACAATGAAGAATGCATGCTCTCGATTGCCTCGCTCAGAAATCCATTGCCATGCCCAGAATTGCCTCTGTTTACATTTGCCTTGACCTCTGGAAATTGTGCCAATCTCTAGAATGCTTCTGCTCCAACACAGGGACCCTCTGGTGGGCTGCCGACCCGAAAAGGGGGCTGTAGACCACATGTAGACCAGAAAAACTTGTTGTAGACCAGAAAAAGTGGTCGGTCAACCACCTTTACTGGTCTGCCGACAAGAAATTCTGTCAAACTCCAGTTTTGCTGTAACAGAGAACAACAAGGGCATGGCAGCGTATTTGCAAGGGAATGTGTGCACAACCACCCTCCCTATCATTTCTCAAGCTCAAGGGAGTGCGGTACCCGACTCTCGGGCCACTAACCGAGTGTCGCAACGCACGATGGCCGAGAAGCCAAGTTTGCACAAGTCAATGTCAATGAATGCACAAATAACACCTAAGGGCCTCCACCTCTGTCATGCTTGATCAAGAGGGTCGGCGACCAAGAAATGAAGTGCGTTTCATCACTTCAAGTATGAAACGCCCCTTGCTTCTCGTGTTTGGATTAACACCCAATCCAAACACAATGTAACACACACAACATGCCTACCTATCAATGATAATGTGGCATCCACAAGGTTCCAACATATGAACAATGCATGCATGGCATGTTTGGAGGCTAAAGCATCAAAGCAAGCAAAGAGCATCATACAAGAGGCATGCAATACAATGCTCAAATGATCAAACCAAACCTAAACAGCCCTCATACATGCCAAAAAGAGTGGCTGAGATGTTCTGAAATGCTAGCATGAAAGACAAGAAGATGATGCTCATGCATTGGCTCATGAACAAAACATAGAAGTACAACTCTCAAACATAATGAAGAAGTGACAAATGTGAGAGTGTAGCTACACTATATGCACTGAAATCATGTGTGAAATTATGCCAAATCATCCAAACAATACAAGCATAGCATCCTAAGGACCTTGAATCATTAGGCTAGTCAAAGCTATTGCACTACAACCATGCATAACAAATCCCATATGACCCAAACTACTCAAAACAGAGTTGAAGCATGCTAAAACATAGGCTCAAAAGGGAAGGAAAGCATGTTCATTCATAGGCTAACAAACAAGGCATAAGGCATAACCCTCAAGAGCAATGAAAGAGTGATAAACATGGGAGTATAGCAAGGACATAAGCTTTGAAATTACATTCCAAATGATGTCAAATCATGCACACATCACAAATAAGGCATGCTAGGGAGCTCAAAACTCAAGATTAGCAAGGCCAATTACACTATAGCCATATCAAGCAAGCCCCAAAGGGCCAAGATGACTCAAAACAGTCCCAAGGCAGGTCAAAACAATGCCAAAACATGCATGGAGTAGAGCTAACACATGTTAGAACGGGAGGCATAAAGCATGATGCATGCAAGGCCAATGA